GTGTGACTGCAAAGTAGTGTGTTCCACTAGGATCTGCTTAGTGCCCAAGGAATGGGGCAGAGTAAGGAGAGAGCAGCGGGTGGTCTGCTACAGAGCTGAGAGAGAGTGAAGATCTGTAATTAACCTACCTGCCTTCCTTGGTAAGATTGTTTTTAACCATTTTAAGAACTACCAGGATGATTTCCATAAGGATCAAACCCCTTTACACTTTCTATCAGTAAAACAATTCCAGTTTCTCCACCTAACCCACCAACACTTTCCATCATCTTTTTTAGCCATCCTGGTGGATATGAAGTGATTTCATATCATTGTAGCCTTGCTTTGCCTTTCTCCAGTGAGCAATCATGTTAGGCATCTTTTCACATAGTTATGGACTACCTGTATAAAGCCTTTGAAGAAATGTCTTTTCAGATCTTGCCGCCTTTTAAGTTAGATTATGTCAGGTTGTTTGTTTTGTTTTATTTTGAGACAAGGCATCTTGTATTCCAGACTGACCTTGTAGCCAAGGGTGATCTTGAACTTCTGATGGTGATCCTGGAAGAGCCTGGGTACTCATGTCCAATTTATATGATGCTGGGGGTCAAACCTAGGTCTCTGTGCATGCTAGGTAAGCAGTGGAGTTATATCCCTAGTCCTAAGGTTATGTTTCTTTTGTTATTGATTGTAAGAGTTTATAAATGTTCAGAACATGAATTCCTTTTCAAAAATACAATTTTCAGATCTCTTCCTTCATTTTGTGGGTTGCCTTATCACTTGCTTCATTGGATCATTTCAAGTTTAAGTAAACCTTGAGTCATCCTTCTCTTAGGTCCTTCACTGTCCAACATCCAGTTAGTCACAGATTGGCTGGTTCTCCTTTAAAGTGTCTGACGTATACCCTCACCACCACCACCACTCTGCAAACCCTGCTATTTCTCACCTGAGGTAACATAGCCTCTGGCTCCTGTTTTCTATCCCTGACCCCCACATCCACACAGCTACTTCAGTTCCTTCCAGAAGGGTATACAGAACTACATCCTAGTAGGTCAAATCTCTGCTATCCCTTATATTGTTCCAAACATAATAAAATGTAGGGTTTTTTCTTTTTTCTTCCTTCCTTCCTTTCTTTCTTTCTTTCTTTTTTTTTTTTTTTTTTGCTTTTGTTTTTGTTTTGTTTTGTTTTTTGAGACAGGGTTTCTCTGTGCAGCTTTGGAGCCTGTCCTGGAACTCAAACTCACTCTGTAGCCCAGGCTGGCCTTGAACTCACAGAGATCCGCCTGCCTCTTCTTCCCGAGTGCTGGGATTAAAGGTGTGCGCCACCACCAACCAGCTATATCTAGGATTTTTTCAGAGCTTTAAATTCCACATCCACAGTCTGGGTCAGAAGGAGTCGAGTCTCTCCTGGAAGTCAGCAGATCTGTTTCTCCTGGACCCCAGGGTGCTGTGGATATCACTCTGTATAAATAAAATGCTGATTGGCCAGTAGCCAGGCAGGAAGTATAGCGGGACAAGCAGAGAAGAAATTCTGGGAACAGGAAGGCTGAGGCAGAGAGACGCTGCCAGCCACTGCCATGAGAAGCAAGATGTAAGGTACCAGTACGCCACGAGCCACCTTATAGATTAATAGAAATGGGTTAATTTAAGATATAAGAACTAGATAACAAGAAGCCTGCCACGGCCATACAGTTTATAAGTAATATAAGTCTCTGTGTTTACTTGGTTGGGTCTAAGTGGCTTCAGGACTGTCAGGTGAGAGAGTTGTCCTGACTGTGGGCCAGGCAGGACTGGCGAAAACTCCAGCTACACCAGGGTATTCTTCTCAAAATAGGTTGGCCTAGGACAATAGTTCTGAACTAAGGATGATTACATCCCCATGAAACATTTGGCTATATATAAAAATAGTTTGAGTTGGTTGGGGAAGGAAGAGTTTTGTCACCCAATGTCAGAGGGAGGCTGCAAAGCATCCCACAATGCATTGGGCAACCCTCCCACCCACCTCCAAAAAGGAATTACTATCCCCACATGTCAGTCCTGTCCAATTGAGAAAGCTTGACCTAGAAGATAGGTACAAACTTCTGCATTGGAGCTCTGCCATTTAGGCTTCAACACAATCCAATGTCTACTGTTTTGCAAGAAACACTCCAAACCTCATTGCTTAAAACAAGAATTAAACCTATCTGTGGTGTAGGCCCACAATTCCAGCACTCAGGAAATGGAGACAGGGGGATTTGAGGTCAGTCTAAGTTACATAGGTAGACCCTGTCTCAAACAAAACAAAATAAACAACCCTCTATTTATTATATTTCATGATGCTATGGGTTGATGGGGCACTTCTGGTGCTTGTTTTACCTAGGTTCTATAGAACTTTGATGGCTGTCCATCTCCTCTCTTCCCCTGTGATTTCTCCCATTCTGGAGCCTTAGGGATACAGGGACATGGACTTGTTCTGTGTTGGAAGTTATTTCATGATAGTTCTCCATTCTGCAGATCAAACGCACAAGACTGACCCAGATTCAAGAAGCAGGGAGATGAACCCCTTCCTTTGAAGCCAGGACTTGCAGAATTGTGGATGTGTTAGTCTGCTCTTGCTGATTTGCAGGTCTAGTCATCTCCCAAGGTCATGGCCATTGTTAATGTAAATGAAGCCGGACAGGGAGGAGTGTGGCCAGATCACAGTCCCAGGCTGTGCTGTCCTTGAGAAAAGCTTCCTCCAATGCTTTCTGCCACAGGTCTCAAACTCTCTGGACTCAAGATCCCCTCATGTTCTTAAACATTATTTAGAACTGAAAACACAAAACAATCACTTTGTATGGCTATCTCTCAATTCTACTTTAAATATTAATTAATTTAAAAGTAACAATAGCCTATTTAAAGTTCCCATAAGGAACATTTTTTTTTCCCCCGAGACAGGGTTTCTCTTGTGTAGCTTTGCGCCTTTCCTGGAACTCACTTGGTAGCCCAGGCTGGCCTCGAACTCACAGAGATCCGCCTGCCTCTGCCTCCCGAGTGCTGGGATTAAAGGTGTGCGCCGCCGCCGCCGCCGCCGCCGCCGCCGCCGCCGCCACCGCCACCACCACCACCACCCGGCCAAGGAACATTTTTAAATGAGAAATAACTATGATTTTGCTGGACTGTGTTAAGAAGAGGAATGACATTGTGTTATATTGTTTATACCTCTCTTCTATATTCAGTTTCACACACAACAGCCTGGTTATATTAATTATTTTATATTAATTATTAATTAATTAACTTGGAGCTGCCATCTCTGTTTGCTGCCCAGTCTGGTCTGGAACTGCTGGGCTCTGGTGGCCATCCTGCTTCTCTCTAGCCAGCACTTCCTGCTGTCCTTTTCTTAAGGTATCACACAGCATGTAGCTTCTGGGAATCACCACTCAATAGCCGGAGATGGAAAGATGGAAAAGACAACGTATGATTTGGCATTATAATGAAAATGACTGTGAACCTTCTTATCTTTAATAGACCTCTCTGGGGTTGAAGAGATGGCTCCACCGTTAAGAGCCATCTTGTTGCTCTTGCAGAGGGCCCTGATTTGATTCTCAACATCTACATGGCAGCTCACAACTGTCCAAAATTCCAGTTCCAGGGGATCTAATGCCCTCTTCTGGCCTCTGAGGATACCAGGCATGCACATGGTGCACAGCCATACATGGGAGCAAAATACTTACACAAAATAAATAGTCTTAAAAGGAAAATAATACAGACTTAAGCCCTAGTTAACCTGTAACAGCTGATCCTCATGCTTCTGCCTCCCAAGATTTGCAATTAAGCATGAACCACCACACCCAGCTAATTTTGATCTTTCAAAGACCCACCTCCCTCAGGTATTCAGAGCTCACACTTTGAGGGCCACTGTTTTCAATTGCTGCCATGTTGACAAAGTGCTTTGAAATAGTTGAAGGGTAATTAATATGCTTGAATTAGATGCTTATGCTTATCCTTTGCTACTCATCGTATTCTAGATGGTGCTCCTTTTTATGACTTTACTCCTTTGCATGTCATTATTCTTACTAAAAACTCCTGTGCTCCCCTCTAAACCCAGGTTAAACACATGATTCTTGGTGAAGACTTTCTTGACTTTTATGGACAAAGTTAAAGCTCCTCACCTGTTTTCACACATTGTATCTTTATTTGTCTTTTTTGTCATTATGTTGATCATTGATAGTAATGTTTTTCATTGTGACATTTGCATACATATATGTAGTATATTTCAGTCATAATCACCCTCTCCCATTACCCTCTGTTATCTCCCTTCCACTCTTACTGATGTCCTTCCTTATTTCGCCAACCAGCCCCCTTGCTACTTTCAGGCTAGTTCTTTCTTATTTGTTTCTGTAATCTGATGAGCTTCATTAGGGTTGGTTACAGAAGCAAGGGCACCTTACCTAAGTGGCTATGCTGTAGAAGACAAGGTTTCTTCAAGTCTTGGGGCTGGTCAAAGGCCTCAGTGGGAAGAAGTGCTCCTCCTGTTCCAGGTTGGTGACGTGAATTCAATCCCTGGAGCCCACATAAAGGTGGAGGAAGAGAAGCAGCTTCACAGAGTTGTGCTCTGCTCATCTCCATGTGTGCACAGTGACACGTGTGCCCACACCAATCTAGTACCTGCACTCACACACAATAGTAATAAGATATAATAAAATTTCCAAGAAAAGTCTTTCCCTCTACCATCATTTAGCAATGATGTAAAAGCCCTCAGGTAGAACTGTGGCCCCATGAGCCCCTGCCCACGCCACGACAGGATGCTGCTGACAGGCCAGTTCATGTGCAGGTGATCACAGCTGTGGTGAGTTTCAGAGTACCACAGCCATATTGTACTGGGATGCCTTCCACCATGCTTCCCCTTTTCCTCCAGTTCTTCCCTTCATTCACTCCTCCTCTCAAGGTATTCCCTGATCCTTGGAGGGGGTGTGTATTAATTACTTTTTTGTTAATGTCTGGTGATAAGACACCACATCCAAAGGCAACTTATGGAATCAGGAGTTTGTTTTGGCTTCCGTTTCTAGAGGGAGAGTCCAGAAGAACAGGAGAGGCATGGCAGCAAGCAGCAGGCATGACAGCAGGCACCGGAAGCTGAGAGATCGCATCCTCCACAGGAAACACAAAACAGGGCGATGGAACAGGAAGTGGGGTGGAGCTAAAAGCTCTCAAAAGCCCATCGCCCATAACTCCACCAACTTGGGAACACATGTTAAGTACCTGAGCCTATCGATGGTGAACATTTCTCATTAAAATCACAAGGTAATTTAGATGTCCCATTTTGGGCCGAGCCTTCAACAGTCACTTATTATTGTCACTTGGATCACTTGCAAGTTTCTGCAGTTACCACGGACACTGCTAAAAGAATCTTCTCTAACCAGAGGTGACAGTGGCACCACTCTAAGGGCATAAACGCAGTTATCTAAAAGGCAAGTTGATGGGTACATCATGTCCATTTAGCAAAACAATAGCAGTAACTTCCTCACTAAGACTGGTAACCTCCCTCCCTAGTCAAAGACTTTTGGTCAGGTTTTCAGTACCAGGCATGGATTCCCTCCTGGGGAATGGTCATCAAATCCAGTCAGGAAGTGGTTGGTTACCCCCATAACAGACTTCCCATTATTGAATCAGTGGGCACAGCTTTCCTGGTCAGTTGGTAATGTTGCACTCAGACTCCACATCTGAGTAAGACTGTTGATGACAAGTCTCTCCAAGTAGCATGATGAGAGCTAGCTGGCAGGGCAGAAGCTTCTAGTCCAGTTCTAGCTTGATTGTGCTGTACCTGAAGCCAGGTTGTACCCTCACATCTTATCTTTCTTATGGGGTAGTACTTACTGTGTTAAATGAAATTGTCCTCAGTCTGTATATTTATCATTGTCTTAATCAGACCAGAGGTTTCTGACATTTGATAAAGTGGTTTTTTGTTTTTTGGTTTTGTTTTTTTTTTTTTTTTTTTTTTTTTGGTTTGATTTTTTTGTTGTGAAGTAATGATAAAAATTTGGTCCATTTCCACATCTCTAGTCAACTATACTAACAAGTGTATCAGTTATTCCCTCCCTCTCCATGCATTTGTGTAAGACTGTTAGCATATGTTAACTTTTACATATCATGAGCTCTAAAGCTAAGCTACCTTGATAGTCTATCCAGCCTTGGTATTCTGCTTCAGCATCATGTTCCCCCCATCACCCATGACATTTTAATAATGGTCTTTGCTGTGGAATATCTTTTTGTATGCTGTGAATATATGCTGTTCGCGTTGGTTAGTAAATAAAACTGCTCTGGCCTATGGCAGGGCAGGATGGAGCCAGGCAGGAAAATCCAAAAGAGATAATGAGAGAAGTAAGGAGAGCAGGAAGAGACTCGGAACTGCCGTCCAAGGAGCAACATGTAATGGGATGCAGGTAAAGCCACGGAACCCATGATGATATATAGATAAATAGGAATGGGTTAATTTAAGATGAGAGAGCTAGCTAGCAAGAAGCCTCCCATTGGACATACAGTTGGTAATTAATATAAGCCTCTGAGTGATTATTTTATAAGCGGCTATGGGACCGTGGGGCCAGGTGGGACCGGAGAAACTTCTGCTATAGTTCTTAGTACCTCTCCACCATCAACATCCATTGCTCTTCCATATTTTATGTGAACATTTGATCTTTTTATGTCCCTAGCTTAACTTCAGAAAAATGTTTGGAAAGCAAGAAATGATGTCATGTGCCTGTTATCTGAGCACTTGGGAGACGGAGGCAGAAAGGTCAGGAGAAGCTATGTGGCAGGTTTGAGGCCATCCTGGGCTATCCGGGACCCTATGTTGTTCCTCTCAGGAAAAAAAAAATGAAACAAATGAAAACCTAAAAAAAAAAAAAAGAAGAATAATTTTGAGTTTTCTAATTGAAATTGCATTTGCTCAGAACAAATCAGGGAACAGGAAGGAATATCGCATCACCACAGAATGTGAATGACCTGTTAAGCATTCCTCTGTTGCCGGGCAGTGGTGGCACACATCTATAATCCCAGCACTCGGGAGGCAGAGGCAGGCCGATCTCTGTGAGTTCAAGGCCAGTCTGGTCTACAGAGTGAGTTTTGGGACAACCAGGGCTACACAGAGAAACCCTGTCTTGAAAAACAAAACAAGCCAGGCAGTGGTGGTGCATGCCTTTAATCCTAGCACTCGGGAGGCAGAGGCAGGTGGATCTCTCTGAGTTTGAGGCCAGCCTGGTCTACAGAGCAAGATCCAGGAAAGGCTAAAAAAAAAAAAAAAGAAAAAGGAAGGGAGAAAGAAAGAAAGAAAGAAAGAAAGAAAGAAAGAAAGAAAGAAAGAAAGAAAGAAAGAAAGAAAGAAAGAAAGAAAGAAA